TCAGTCACTGGATTCATGGTTTACAAAAAGAAGAAAGGTGAGAGAGGAATAGAAAGATCACCTGACTGTTACAATCCTTTTGACTTTAGTCTGTGAGTTGATGTTTTTATCCAGATTTGTTTTTTCTTTGATTTTAGCCAAACACCCTCCACCTCGTAAGTAAAACTTATTTTCCTCTATCTCCAATGATCTGACACTATTTATACTTTAGATTAAAATGTTTTAAACATGATTTTGTAGATGAACTTTTTCAAGACATTTACTACATTTCCTGTTTATAAAAGTTCAGTGCTGGATGAGTGACTTTACACAGTTTCTCACAAACAGTGTGTTTCTGCTCTTACAGCTCCTGACAGCGACTCTGAGCTCTCTGAGAACCTGAATCCAGAAACCTGACAAACACTCAGGCAGTGAGCTCACATGGGAGGGAAAAGGTGACGTGTGACACATTATACAGCTGAAAGAGTCTAAATGTTGTTCTCCTGTAGCAAAAGTGCAATAGCTTTATATGAACAAAGTGGGATTAAGAGATTAAAACAATCTTGCTTGAGGTAAATGTCAAATATAATAGTTATTTATCAAATTTTTTCACGATTGATTATTTTATTTTATCATTGATCTTACATTGATGCATTAATCTGTTTTTGATCATTTTTGAATGACAGTTTCTGGTTTTACAATAACTCAATGAAACATCTAATTAACCTCTGTTTGTTATTGAAACCATCTGCTTTTCTTTGGTGAAACGGTTCATGGTACATAAATAATGAAACATTCATCATAGCAGAGGGATTGCTACCTGCTAACTGATTAGTCAGACTGGTGGAACCAGATACACAGTGATGGTACTTGGACTTATAAGTGGGATTTTCATATGATGTTGTCTTTGAACCAGTTGGACCAGCCCATGTGGGCTGATCCTGTAGATATGAGGCAGAGGCAGCGACCGCAGAGTATCTGCTCTTTGACTGAATGAGAGAAGGATTTAAAAGCAGCTTAAAGCAACATTTGCTCAGGGTTAGAGAAGGTGTCGTCTGTCAGAGGCTCAGTAGATTCATGACATCACAGACTGACACCCACTGCAGCGTCTAGTTATAGATCAAAACTCATTTAACAGGTGAACTGGTCATCTACAGGACCATCAAATATAAAATGTGTTGTTCTTTCTTTTGCTGCTGATGTTCTACTTTTCAATAAAGTTCAATTTTCTAAAGATTGTCTTTATTTCTGAAGTTCATCTGTGACTGTATCTGCAGGAATATGAATATTAGTTGAGCTGTCAATCTTCTCACAGAAGAGCTGGATGAGAGCAGAGTCAGCTCCTACACACGTTTAGCTTAGCTTAGCATCAACACTGGAGATAGGGAGAAAATCACAGTCTTGTTGACCTGTTATGTTAATACAGGTGGTTTTTACCAACAATACACTGCTACATGCAACAACTACTTTCCCCGCTCAGAGTAAGTTGATAGATGTTTCTTCTGAAAGCTGATAGGTCAGTTAAGATGAACTCTGTGGCTCCTCCTCAAACATGAAGAAATAGCCTGTGTTTTCCTGATGTGACGTCATGTGATGTCAAAGTGGTGAAAATGTTTCTTAATGTGCAGTTTGTTTAATTTGACAAGGATAAAAAATAACCACTACAACTGTTTTTATTTTTTATTCCATCATATTTCAATCAGCTCCAGTGAGTTCATCAGGGTCTTGATTCATGTTTCTGTGTAAAGTTCAGTGGGATCCTCTGTTACCTGTTCCTGCTGCTTCCACTGAAACTCTGCGTCTCAGCTGCTCTGCTGCTGAAGTCCAATGTCTGCAGCAGTAGTTTAATGACACTGGTGACTTCTTAATGTTGTCTTTATAATACTGCAGTCCTCTGAGTGTCCTTTAAGACTGTAAGCTGTAACATGCACTGTCTCATGTTATCTAAAACTGAAGCCATACAATCTAATAATACATAGTGTGAGTGAAGAGGCTGAGTAGTGATGAAGTGACGTGACAGAGAAGCAACTGCTCTCCTCAGTGTATCCAGTTTTATCTGACCAGACCAACCAATCAGATATAGATAAACCTTGATCATTTGCATGTGGCTTGTTTATGATTGTTCAAATAGAGAAGGACAAAATAAAATACTTTTCAGTTGTTTTTTTTAATTTTGGGATGAAGCAGGAGCATTTGGTGGAGCATTGTCCCACATGCCCATGCCTCGAGCTGGGCCTGCACGGGACATGTATTCTGTTAACAGAATAAATCTTCATTTCCAAATCCAACTAATAAAATGTAAATCTCCTCAATGAAACCAAAGAGAAGTTTTGCAGTTTGTGGAGAGAAGCTGCAGCGTCTGATTCCTGGAGCCGCCTTCATCTGACGAGGTTTCAGGTTCTGTAGACGATCGTCTCTGCCACTAGATGTCGCACTAGACCAGCAGCATCTCACACCAGGCGGTGTGTGTCAGATCCTTTGCAAGACTCTGTGAGCTACTGTTACCCAGAGCACCTCCAGACAGTTCTGCATCTTTACAGAAGCACGAGTCGATTAATGTCGCCGCTCTGATGTTGAATGACTTACATACACAGAGGAAGCAAACAACTGCCTTAAAAACAATCTGATTTATTTACATCATTTACTCATTGTATACACAGACATACAGTGCATACGGGAAGTATTCACACCCCTTCACTTTCCCCACATTTTGTTATGTTACAGCTTTATTCCAAAATGGATTAAATTCCTTTTTTTGACATCAATCTACACACAATACCCCATAATGACAAAGCGAAAAAGTTTTTTTAGAAATTTTTGCAAATTTATTAAATGTAAAAAAACTGTATTATTGGATGTACATAAGTATTCACACCCTTTACTCAGTACTTCGTTGAGGCACCCTTGGCAGAGATTACAGCCTCAAGTCTTCTTGGGTATGAAGCTACAAGCTTGGCACACCTGTATTTGGGTTATTTCTCCCATTCTTCTCTGCAGATCCTCTCAAGCTCTGTCAGGTTAGATGAGGAGCGTCGCTGCACAGCTATTTTCAGGTCTTTCCAGAGATGTTGATGATCAGGTTCAAGTCTGGGCTCTGGCTGGGCCACTCAAGGAAATTCACAGACTTGTCCCGAAGTCACTCTTTCGTTGTCTTGGCTGTGTGCTTAGGGTCGTTGTCCCTTTGGAAGGTAAACCTTCTTGTCTTCATCTTTAGGTTCCATCATGATCATGGAGGTAAATGTGAAGACCTGTGGGGGAGAGAGACAGACAGAGAGTGCAGTAAACCAGTGTGAGATTGTAGCAGTCAGTTATTATCAGTGGACATCTTTCCTATGGAGACATGAGCCTTGATCCACAGACCCCAGAACAGCAGACCTACAGCTTTATGAGGTTAGACTACAATCAGAAATCATCACATTAAAACTAAGTTTCGAAAGTTTAAACTATGGTTTTGAAACTGAAAAACAGGATTGGGATTTGACATTTCAAAATAAGATGTGACTCTTATCTGAATCAACAGGTGAATACACTCAACATGTATTGACATAGTAGCCTATATTCAGGTGAGCTTGTTCATCTCCTTGTGTATTCAATGGAGAATACACGAGCCTATAGGTGCAGCAGTTTATTAAGACCCATAGTAACGTTTCGTTGTTAGGCGACATCTAGCAGACGTGGTATAAATAGAGAAAAAGTCCATGAGAGGAAGTGGTTAGGGTGGATGGGTCAGCAAAACACAGTATTATGAAACGAGTGTGGTGTCAGTTCCCATATGAAACCAGGATTTATACTGTTTCTATTATCCATGACAGTTGGTTGTTATTATTGTTACCATGACAACAAAGATCATCTGATGTTGATGTTTTTCTGCCTAAACCTAACCAAGCCGTGACTGATATTATAGTAACCATGGTACAGTTGCGTGTTTATTACGGTAACCATGACAACCAAGGTCCAGTACGCATACCGCTGTATGGGTGCTATTTCAGGAGACACTCATATGGGTCGCATCATTTACAGGCATTTATAGAGGCATAAAATAATCTAAAAACATTTAAAATAAAAGTATAAGAAGACATTAAAACTGCATTTAACAAACAATAAAAACAAAAGCAAAAACAAGCAAATAAATAGATAAACCTTAAAAAGAGGTCAAGTTGGTCATTTATTGGGAAGCCTAACAGGAGTGTTTTTAGCCCTGATTTAAATGAGCCGACAGTTTCAGATCAGGAAGATTGTTCCACGTGGTGAGGAGCATAGTAACTAAAAGCTGCTTCACTTTGCCTGGTTTTGATCCTGAGAACACTGAGAAAAACCTGTCCCAGGTGACCTGAGGGGTGTGGCCGCTTCATATCTACAGGTACATTAGAAATGTATTTAGGGGCCAGACCATTTGTTTGGTTTTATCGTTGGTGGGGACATTTTTGTCAGATGGCCGAATTAATATGTGCTTGTTCTTTATCTCTTTATTCTCACGCACACACACATGAAGAGCCTGAGTCTGGAGAGAGTTTATTTGGATTGAATATATGTTTGCTGATATAACTTGTCTAAAAATGGACTTGTCATGTTTTATTTTTCTCTCTCTTTAAACTCTTTTTTTCATTAACAGAAATAGTGACATGATAGATTTTCAATATAATCTTACAAGTAAATAGAAATAAATATGTATAACCCTGTAGATCCACACAGCTGGGAAATAGTAGCCTCTACAGGGGCCGTATGCCACACAGATCGTAGCTCCTTGTCCAGATTGGACATTTGTGATGTGTGATATTGGGCCATATCAGCTGGAGGCCTACAATATTTTAAAGTGTTGTTTAAGTTACTGTAATGTGACCCAGGGTTATTGTGTTAAGAATGACTTCCTTCCCTTGTTTACATTGTAAAGAACCTTTAGTCTCAGTGGTAGAAAGCCTTGTTGTATTGGAGTGGAATATCCTGACAGTGTCATGTCCATGAAGAGATGTTAAGTTATCTTTAGTTTTGTCTGTCTTGTGACTTGTTTTATTTTGAAAACCTAACTCTCCTCTCGTTTCAGGTAACTTCCTCCTTCCCTTGTGTGTTTCCCACTGGTCTGATTGTCTGCCCCGCCCTGATTGTTTCCACCTGTTTCCCATTACCTTGTGTGTGTATATAGTCTGCGTTTCCCTTTGTCCTGTCCCAGTTCGTCTTGTCACCAGAGAACCATGCCAGCCATGTTGTCCCATGCCAGGTTTTGTAGTCTGTGTTATGTTTTGCCGTAGTCTTGTTGTACATTATTTTGATACTTTGTCTTTTCCTGTGTCCTGAATTTTTGTTGGTTTTCCTCGAAAGAGCGATTTTAATTTGGGTCTTTGAATATATATTCCTCTGTTAGAGTGACTTTCCTTTGCTACTTTGTTATTAAAATATTTTTTGATTGGTACTTTGTCTTGGAGTCGTGCATTTGGGTTCAAGCCTTAGTTCAGTTGTGACAGACAGCAGGAATTAAACATGTTCTTCGTGCCTTTGAAAATAATTGTTGTGATCCATTAAAAATGAATGAATGTTCTTTTAAATGTTTACAACACAATATGTTTCCACTACACAGTCTGTTGACATGTCTGCTCCTCACTCTGAAACACACCCATTTTAACTTTGCATGCACTTTCTAACACAACCAAAAGCTTGTGTATTAACAGCAAGATCAAACACATTTAAACCAGCCTAGATGGTAAGATACAGTATCATCCCCAAAATGAACAAACAGACATGGAGCCATTTCATTCATCACTTCCATCAGAACTTTATTCATCAAAGACAGATACACACATATACATATTTCAACAACTTGAAATAAAAGCAACAGAAATAAAGTGATTGTAACAGCGGCTCAGAGAAAGTGTTTTTATTATTAAATTATTAAAGTAGATTAACAGGTTACAGCACAGATGATTAACATTCCTGGTTAAATGTCTAATCATGACGTCTGATATCTGGTGTAATCTATGATTAAACATCATTCAAGCCTTGATCTACTTCACAGATCAGAGATCATCTCTAATCATCAGCATCAGGAGAACTGACACACACTTTCCAAAACCCTTTAACCACAGCACATGGATATTTACACTGTGAACTAATGCCACTGTAACTTCACTGCAGTCGACTTTCCTCTTCTGATCTTCTTTGGTAACATTTTATGACTGAGCTCCTCTCTTTTTCTGCACATCTGCACAGTATTGACACGATGCAGAAGTCACTGTGATCAGTTAGAAGCTGCATCCAATGGAAATCAAGAGTCTGAAGCTGCAGGCAGAAACAAAAGTGAAGTAGTTTCATTTGAAACAAAGAGGCATCATATGAAAGGCAGGGCTGGACATGAATGATTGAGTGTTAATGTTCAGACACATTCACTTCTCAACAATAAGACATTAGAATGATTAAAATGATTATATTTCATTTGTCATAGAGGGAAACTTACTGTTTGCAGGTCTGAACCCTGAAACACAGAAGAGAGAAATCAATGTCAAAATAAATAAACAATCAAAAATAAAACAAAACTGAATTCATGACACAAAGAAACGTCGTGTTGTTTTGAAGAAATCCCCCATAAATTCACAGATTTTTGCTTTGACTATAAATGTAGAAAACCAACTCTTTACAAACACACAACATCTGTTGAGGTCTTTGCTGCCTGCTCCAGTTGTCCTCTGGCTTTAAAATGACTGGAGATCAGTGAACAGTGGAGTAAAAGTGGCTTCATCATGAGTGAAAACATCTCTGTCCCTCACCATTGTGTTTCCTTCTCCAGATGAAGAGTCCACAGAGAGCCAGGAGCAGCAGTCCTACAACAACTCCACTGACAGCAGCAGCAGGAAACTCAGAGGGAGGAACTGGAACCAGAACAGAACATTCACACTTTGTCTCCAATGCTGGATGGAGATGAACATGTTTCGTCCACTTTAGTTTGAGATCGTAGTGGGAAACAGAATTCACTTCAGTCAGACACAACTGTAGTTTTGCTTTCCTTCAACACTTCAATTAGCTCCACTCCAGAAACCTTGTTTCCCACTCACGTTAGTGTTGTAGTGATGTCACTGTGCCCACAGATGTTATCAAGATTTCAGAAAGAAAGAAAGAAAGAAAGAAAGAAAGAAAGAAAGAAAGAAAGAAAGAAAGAAAGAAAGAAAGAAGTGTGTATTTTCAATCTCCATCACCTCTGATCTCACTCTTACCTTCATTGGTCCTGATCACTGATTTGTCCAGTTTGGTGACGATGTCCTCCTTCACTCCAGAGAGCTGAAACACACAGTCGTACCTCCTCCAGTCTTCAGGTGTGACTGATGAAATGTTCAGGTCAACTCTCATCTGGAAGGTTTCATCATGGTTGGGGAGGATCTCTCCTTGGTCCACGTCCTCATAAAGATCCTCTCCATCTTTCCTCCAGAACATCACAGCTCTGTGAGGGAAGAAACCTGTAGCGTGGCAGCTGACTGGAGAGGAGGGAGTCTTCTGGAGGAGAGACACTGAGGGAAGCTCTGGAGGGAGAGAGTAAAAGTGAAAAAGAGTTAAAAGTGTTTAAAAGTAGTGATGTGCAACACCATTGATACCAAGTCATACCCAGGACCCAACATGCATGCATGTTAATTGACACTTGAAAACTCTTGCCTCAAACTTCTTACAAACATTCTAACTTCACATTTTTTGTCTGAAGAAGTTCCACACGCGATTTCGTTTGCATTCGGCCATCATCAATGTAACACTCTGTTCAGTGGCTCGTGTATTTATAGAGCTGAAGTACATATGACTATGACCGGCGGAAGGTAAAGTAGTTCCTATCAACCAGGTATTATTTAGACTAGATCCTGGTGATAGCATTGTTACTTTCTACTGTCACCCTGTTGATGATAAAAGACACATTTACCCCAAATCATTGAGTTAAGGTATCGATCATTTAATGTGAGAATCGATCCTAGAACAGAAATGTTTGAAATTGGAAGTATCAATATTTCAGTATGGATCTGTACACCACTATTTAAAACATGTTCTCTTCGCGTTAGTGTGACGGTGTTCCCTGTTGTCTCTGTAACAGGCAGCGCACTGATCTGAATCTACTGCAGGTAACATCGGGCTATGCTTGACTACCTCACACAACCCCATGTCAAAGAACCGAACTATCCCTTACCACACGTTTTAAAGGTATCAAATGCATACCATGACAATTATTGATATTGATCAACAGGGAAAACTAATTATTGTGAATATTTTTTGGCCATATCACCCAGATCCATAAGAAACTCCTTCAGGTCATGTGACTCTTAAAGACATAAAGACCTGGAGGACCAGCAATTTTTCACTTTTTAACTCAGACAAAAGTGAAGTTATTGTACTTGGCCTTAAACACCTCAGAGACACACTATCTGATAATATAGTTACTCTGGATGGCATCACCTTGGCCTCCAGTGCTACAGTCAGTACCCTTTGGACATGGACATGTCTTTTACTTCACACATAAAACAAGTCTCTTCAGGGGCTTTCTTCCATCTTTGCAACATTATCCTTATTAAAATCAGAAACATCCTGTCTCAAAAGGATGCTGAAAAACTAGTCCATGCATTTGTTACCTCTGGACTGGACTAGTGTAGTTCTTTATTATCAGGATGTCCCAATCACCTCCATTGATTCAAAATGCTGCAGCAGAGAACTGACAGGAACTAGGAAAAGAGATCACATCTCTCCTGTTTCGGCTGCTCTGAATTGGCTCCCAGTAAAATCCAGAATAGAATAAAATCCTCCTCCTTACCTACAAAGACATTAATGGTCAGACACCTTCGTATCTTAAAGAACTCATAGTTCCCTGTTATCCTAACAGAACACTCCACTCTCTAAATGCAGCTCTACTGTGGTTCCTACAGTTTTTAAGACTAAAATGGGAGGTAGAGCCTTCAGCTACCAAGTTCCTCTCCTGTGGACCCAGATCCCAGTGGGTCCAGGAGGCAGACTCCCTCTACATTTAAGATCAGGTCCTCTTTGATAGGGCTTATCGTTAGAGTTGGCTCACTAAGTGAGTCCATCCCTTAGTTATGCTGCTATAGACCTAGACTGCTGGGGGATTCCCATGATACACTGCTCTCTCTCTCTGTCTCTCTCTCTCTCTCTCTCTCTGTCCTCATTCTGCAGGTCTCTGGAGCATCCAGTATCCAGATCTCCCAATACAACATTACTCATTATTCATCATTCATTCATTCATTCATTTTCTATCGCTTATCCTCTAGTAGGGTCGCGGGGGGGCTGGAGCCTATCTTAGCATCCTTTCGGGCGAGAGGCGGGGTACACCCTGGACAGGTCGCCAGTCCATCACAGGGCAAACACACAGAGACAGACAACCATTCACTCTCACAATCATACCTATGGTCAATTTAGAGTAGTCAATCAGCCTAATCCCCATTTGCATGTTTTTGGACTGTGGGAGGAAGCCGGAGTACCCGGAGAGAACCCACACAGGCACGGGGAGAACATGCAAACTCCACACAGAAAGACCCTGTGTCCGAGCCGGGACTCGAACCTGGAACCTTCTTGCTGTGAGGCGACAGCGCTAACCACTTTACCACCGTGCCATAAAAAACAATGCTCATTATTATTATCATTATTGATAACACTAGTACTAGTATGATATTAGTATGATATTTCCACTATAACAATTAACAATCAACAGCTGATACGACAACACCATAACAGTACCACTGTTATTATTTTAACTGTTACAACAATCAACAGTGTGTACTGTTGTTCATGGTCTCACCCTATCTCTCTCTCTATCCTCTCTCTCTCTCCTCCCCCACCCCCTCTTTCTCCACTCAAACCCAACTGGTCGAGACAGGCAGCCGCCGGCCCTGAGCCCAGTTCTGTTTGAGGTTTCTTCCTGTTAAAGGGAGTCCCCCCACCCCCTGTTGCCAGGTGCTGCTCTTTGTGAGAACTGTTGGGTTTCTCTCTATAACAAAGTAAGGTCTCGACCTCACCCCTTTAAAGGGCCGTGAGTTAATGTATATTATGATTTGGCACTATACAAATAAAAATGAATTGATTTTACCTGTTCTCTGCAGAGAGCTCTTCCCATATTGCACAGACACCTTCAGTAACTCAGGGCAAACATGATGGTAGAAGTTCCCATTGGTTTCTGTATTTGCTATGTTATTATCCCATTTCTGTTTGATGATGACAGCTTCTGGTTTCAGAGCGATCCATGTCAGATTCTTCAGGTCAAATGATAAGAAGTCTTCTCCATCATAACCAATCTTCATAAAACTAGTGACCTCTCCAGAATTTTCATCCCATTCACACCCACTCCTCATCTGCACAATGTGGACACCTGAAAGAGCGTCAGACAAAAGAGACTGCAATTAAAACACTGATACATTTGTAATGACAGAATATAACATGAAAACATTTCTAATGAATACACAGTCTGTTGGTTGAGATGGAGCTTCTTTAATACGTCCATCTAAATGTCCAGTACCTGCGACCAGATGGGAGCAGAGTTCAAAATGGACAAATGATTCTTCAGCTCTGACACAACTGGCCCACCAGCAGAGTTCAAGGGTGGAGAGGAGATTGACAAGGGTGGTGGCAGTGGTGCAGTTCAGGATCTGCTCGATGCTAATACGGCAGGTCAACATTTTAGCATCGCAGAGGTTCGATATCAAACAACCAGCTTCAGTTTTCCTGGAAGGAAGTTTGGCAGAGGAACATTTTGTTGTTCATTTAATGCCATTAGGGAACAAAAGGAGGAGGCTGCAACACATTGAGAACGGTGCTCATGTAGTTTATTGGGCTGACAACCATCACTGCAAAAGGACAACCATCACTGCAGAAGGACAACCATCACTGTAGAAGGACAACCATCACTCCACCACTCCACTGAATTGGGCTTTATGGCAGAGTGGCCAGAGAAAGCCTCTCCTCAGTGACAGTTTCAACAAAAACCTAAAGGACTCAGACTGTGAGAAACACGATTCTCTGGTCTGATGAAACCAAGATTGAAGTGTTTGGTTCGCAATTATAAGTGTCATATCTGGAGGAAACCAAACATGATACTTAGAATTGGTCGTCTGTCTGGAGGTTTCTCCACAGGATCTCTGGAGCTCAGCCGGAGGTTGTCATCAGGTTTTTGGTCACCTCTCTTACCAAGGTTGTTCTCCCCTGATTGCTCAGTTTGGCCAGGTGGACAGTTCTGGGGAGAGTCCTGGTTCTTCTTCCTTTAACTATGATGGAGGCCACCGTGCTCCAGGGAACCCTCAATGCAGCAGAGCTTTTTTTGAATCCTTCCCCAGATCTGAGCCTCAATACAATCCTGTCTCTGAGCTCTGCAAACAGTTCCTTCCTCATGGTTTTTGCTGTGATATGTATTATCAGCTGCGAGACCTTATATAGACAGATGTGTGCCTTTCCAAATCAGGTCCAATCATCTGAATTCACCACAGGTGGACTCCAGTCAAGGTGTAGAAACATCTCAGAAATGATCAGGAGAAATGGAGGAATCTGAGATTAATTTCAAGTGTCATAGCAAAGTGTCTGAATACTTATGTCAATGTGACATTACAGGTTTTATTCCTCCACTCCCATGACAGTCAGAGCCGGAGGCGTATTTTTCTTAGGTTGTACGTCCATCCATCCATCCAATTCTCATGGACACGATATCTCAGTAATGCCAGTATCTCAGTAAGTCCACATAGTTCATAGTTTATTTGCAATATATTTGTATATATTAGTTATTGTTTTTTGTCGATTGCCCTTTGTTATTCTACATCTATAAATAATGTACACAAAGGAAATATTCCTGACTTTAAAGTTTACCAGATATGGAGTTAAACATCCCATACCGGCTGAGCTGAAGAAGCAGTACCGTGTATGCAGAGCCGGGGCTAAGCTAAAGGCTAGGAGATGAAGATATAAGCCTTTTCTACCATCGATCCTCATGGGACATGTCAACCGCCTGGCTAACAAGTATGATGAACTGGAGGCACTTGTGAAGAACCAGCGAGCAAGTCATGAGTGTAGTCTCATGTGTTTCACAGACGTGGTTAAACGACAACACTCCCGACTGTTGTGTGGATTTACCCGGCTTCACTGCAGTACGAGCGGACAGAGACGCCAGAGCAAGTGGGAAGAATAAAGGTGGAGGACTGGTTCTGCTTGTGAACAGTAGATGGTACAACCCCGGTCACAGCACAGTGAAGGAGAAGATCTGCTGTTTGGATGTTGAACTGTTGGCAGTTGGACTTAGACCTATGTACCGAGGGAGTTCTCACACTTTGTCGCCATTGTTGTTTACATTCAACCACGAGCAGAGCCTGCAGTCACGTGTGAAGTCATTCATGAGACTGTTGCGAGAGTACAGACCCAGTACCCTGATGCATTCATTGCAATATCAGGGTATTTTAACCATGTCACTCTCACCTCTCTCCTGACTGGCTTCACTCAGTATGTTGACGGTCCCACAAGGGAAAATAAGACACTGGATCGGTTGTATGCAAAGGTCAAAGAGGCCTACTGTTACCGAGGGTTGTAATAAAGGACTGTATAAATGGTTGTTTGGCTGATCCTGATCTCTAGCTTCGCCCCAGGTGTGTCTGTCAAAACACAGATGCTGACAACTCTTCTTTAGTTTGACTGTTTAATAAGTTCAAGCAACAGTACAGAACATGGGCACAGCTTTGTGTGAATGGTTCTGTCCAGAAAAAAGGAAAAACATATTATCTGGCCCACATTATATACACAAACATATAGTGACATGTGCACCTTTAATATTTGTAATAAACACACACCTTTCTGTATATTATATGCAGTGTAACTAGTTAGCATAAACAGCACAGTCACTAACTTAAATACAGAACAAATACGTAGCTACACGTCCACTTCTAGCTGACCAATTAACAACCATATGCTTTTAAGTTAGCAAGCAGCTCCAAACTAGGTGGCTATAATTATCAACTTATGACACAAAGGATAATGAACTAGCAACATAAATAATACAACTTACAGGTCTCATGGACACACGCACACAATTACAGTGAAACCAATTAGTCTCTGACTGGCAGCCTCCGTTCTCTCTCTCCACTCTGCACTTTCTGCCGTCTTCTGGCTTGCGTGTGCTCGCTCCCGATGCGCGTATATGCCTCTGATCACCGTCACGCGCCTAGAGTAATCGATAACTTCCCTTTCGTACACCTACACTGCTTCAGCTCTACCACCACTTGGCAGATCAGATCATGATCTGGTTTTTCTTCAGCCTTCTTACAAGCCCTGTGTACTGAGGCAGGCTGCAACCACCCGCTCATTCAGGAACTGGACCCCGGCGTCAAGGGAGTCTCTGAAAGACTGTTTTGAGTGCACAGATTGGAATGTCCTGTAGGAGTCACAGGAAAATGATAAAAGCAAGGACCCTGACCTAGAATGGTTGAATGTACCACAGACTACATTAACTATGGACACTGTAATACCAGCAAGGACTGTACACTGCTTTCCAAACAACAAACCCTGGATCACCAGTAACATCAAGACCATCAACCAGAAAAAGGGGGCTTCAGGGATGGAGACAGGGAGAAGCTCAGGTGTGTCCATTATGAACTGAAGAGGAGATTAAAGCAGGAGAAGGAGGACTACAAAAAGAAAGTGGAGAGGAAGCTGCAGCACAACAACACCAGAGAGGTGTGGAAGGGGATGAGGACCATCACTGGCTACAAAGAGAAGAACAGCCAGGCAACATCAGGTGACGTGGACAAGGCCAGTGAGTTCAACCTGTTCTACAACAGGTTTGACACAGCCCCACCTGTTCTCTCTCCCACTGCTTCAGCTGCAGCTTCTCCTACAGCATCTCCTCCACAACCTGACACTGCAGCTGCAACTCCCTCCACACTGGGGTCAAGTCTTCTGTCCTTTACAGCGGAGGGGGTGAGGGCGGAGCTCAAGAGGCTACGTCATGGAAAGGCAACAGGCCCAGATGGTGTGTGTCTGAGGCTGTTAAAGGACTGTGCAGCCCAGCTGGCTAAGCCGCTCCACAGGAGAGCCTTCAAACTGGGAGGGTCCCGGTCCTGTGGAAAACATCATGTCTTGTTCCTAAAGTAGGATGACCGGCAGAGATAAATGACTACAGACCGGTGGCCCTCACATCACACATCATGAAGACCCTGGAGCGGCTGCTTCTCCACCTTCTGAGGCCACAAGTTGAACATGCACTAGACCCCCTACAGTTCACCTACAAGGAACATATTGGAGTGGATGATGCCATCCTTTACATGCTCCACCAGCCCATTCTTACCTGGATGAACCAGGTGGTTACATGAGGATTATGTTCTTTGATTTCTCAAGTGCATTTAACACCATCCAACCCCCCATCCTTAAAGACAAGCTGGAAGAGATGGGGGTGGATCCCCGCTTCACGTCCTGGATTGTGGATTACCTGACAAGACGACCACAGTACGTCAGGCTGGCTAACTGTGTCTCAGGGACAGTGATGAGCAGCACTGGGGCTCCACAGGGAACTGTTCTGGCTCCATTCCTGTTCACCCTGTATACAGCCGACTTTAAATACAACTCTGAGTCCTGCCACATCCAGAAATGCTGGGATGACACAGCTATTGTGGCGCGTATCAGGAACAGGCAGGAAGAGGAGTACAGGCATCTGACAATAGCCTTCAGTGAATGGAGCAACAAGAACTGCCTCCTTCTGAACACCTCCAAGACCATGGTCATGGACTTTCAGAGGTCTAGGCCCACCCTTCAGCCAGTCAACATTCGAGGGAAGGACATCGAGGTGGTGCACACTAAATACCAAGGTGTGCACCTGGACAGTAAACTGGACTGGTCCCTGAACACGGATGCCATCTACCTGAAGGGGCAGAGCCGGCTCTTTTTCCTCAGGAGGCTCAGGTCCTTTGACGTCTGCAGTGAAATGCTGCACATGTTTTATCAGTCAGTTGTGGCCAGTGTACTCTTTTATGCTGCAGTCTGCTGGGCCGGCAGCATGTCAGACATGAACACAACGAGACTGGACAAGCTGGTCAAAAGGCTGGGTTTGTGCTTGGCAGGAGTCTGGACTCACTCAGGACTGTTGTGGAGAGATGCATGCAATGTAAGATGGAGGCCATCTTGGACAATACCAACCATCCTCTCCACAACATTCTGGCAGGACAGAGAAGCAGCTACAGCTGCAGCAAACGTCTCATCTCACTGCGCTGCAGAACAGAGAGGTTCAGGAGATCCTTTGTTCCCACTGCCATCAGGCTATACAACACCTCAGCCAAAGGAAGTGGACTAATCTAATTATTATTGTTTATTTATTATTACAGTGGGGCAAAAAAGTATTTAGTCAGCCACCAATTGTGCAAGTTCTCCCACTTAAAAAGATGAGAGAGGCCTGTAATTTTCATCATAGGTACACTTCAACTATGAGAGACAGAATGGGGGGAAAGAATCCAGGAAATCACATTGTAGGATTTTTAATGAATTAATTGGTAAATTCCTCGGTAAAATAAGTATTTGGTCACCTACAAACAAGCAAGATTTCTGGCTCCCACAGACCTGTAACTTCTTCTTTAAGAGGCTCCTCTGTCCTCCACTTGTTACCTGTATTAATGGCACCTGTTTGAACTTGTTATCAGTATAAAAAACACCTGTCCACAACCTCAAACAGTCACACTCCAAACTCCACTATGGCCAAGACCAAAGAGCTGTCAAAGGACACCAGAAACAAAATTGTAGACCTGCACCAGGCTGGGAAGACTGAATCTGCAATAGGTAAGCAGCTTGGTGTGAAGAAATCAACTGTGGGAGCAATTATTAGAAAATGGAAGACATACAAGACCGCTGATAATCTCCCTCGATCTGGGGCTCCATGCAAGATCTCACCCCGTGGGGTCAAAATGATCACAAGAACGGTGAGCAAAAATCCCAGAACCACACGGGGGGACCTAGTGAATGACCTGGAGAGAGCTGGGACCAAAGTAACAAAGGCTACCATCATTAACACACTACGCCGCCAGGGACTCAAATCCTGCAGTGCCAGATGTGTCCCCCTGCTTCAGCCAGTACATGTCCAGGCCCGTCTGAAGTTTGCTAGAGAGCATTTGGATGATCCAGAAGAGGATTGGGAGAATGTCAGATGAAACCAAAATAGAACTTTTTGGTAAAAACTCAACTTGTCGTGTTTAGAGGAGAAAGAATGCTGAGTTGCATCCAAAGAACACCATACCTACTGTGAAGCATGGGGGTGGAAACATCATGCTTTGGGGCTGTTTTTCTGCAAAGGGACCAGGACGACTGATCCGTGTAAAGGAAATAATGAATAGGGCCATGTATCGTGAGATTTTGAGTGAAAACCTCCTTCCATCAGCAAGGACATTGAAGATGAAACGTGGCTGGGTCTTTCAGCATGACAATGATCCCAAACACACCGCCCGGGCAACGAAGGAGTGGCTTCGTAAGAAGCATTTCAAGGTCCTGGAGTGGCCTAGCCAGTCTCCAGATCTCAACCCCATAGAAAATCTTTGGAGGGAGTTGAAAGTCCGTGTTGCCCAGCGACAGCCCCAAAACATCACTGCTCTAGAGGAGATCTGCATCGAGGAATGGGCCAAAATACCAGCAACAGTGTGCGAAAACCTTGTGAAGACTTAAAGAAAACATTTGACCTCTGTCATTGCCAACAAAGGGTACATAACAAAGTATTGAGATGAACTTTTGTTATTGACCAAATACTTATTTTCCACCATAATTTGCAAATAAATTCTTTAAAAATCAGACAATGTGATTTTCTGGATTTTTTTTTTTTTTCTCATTTGTCTCTCATAGTTGAAGTATACCTATGATGAAAATTAGAGGCCTCTCATCTTTTTAAGTGGGAGAACTTGCACAATTCGTGGCTGACTAAATACTTTTTTGCCCCACTGTATCTGTTTTTAATATTATCAACAATGAACTAATGGACACATGAATTAATGGCAGAGGCACACAACTGCAAGGTGGTAATTCTAGTTCCTTTTTAATGGATTTGTTTACACACACACACACACACACACACACACACACACACACACACACACACACACACACATACACACACACTCAATGTAATTTATTTATTTCCTGTCACCATAGAGAGTCACTTTATCACTTTATAATGAAGCATGCACATACATATTGTAACCTACCTCCACTATGGTTGAAGAGCTGCATGTAAGAATCAACTATGCCTTTGAAGAGCTCAGGCATACTCTCAGAACACCATATGTTGTACTGCAGAAGTTCTTGAGGGTAGATGATGAAAATCATTTTCAGCCAGTCCTGTTTTATTACTACTACCTTTGTGTTGGTGTCGCAGTAACCCACTGTGATGTCATCAATCTGTCCAGCACCAACAAACTCAGGGAGGTTTGTTACTCCAGAAGACTCAGAGATGAAAAACGTCATTGAGTGTTTCACTGTGGGACAAAGAAGGTGTTCAGATTTTCAGCCAGTCTATAAAGTCTACAAAGAAATGTCATGTATTTGCTCTGTTGATATCACTGTCAGTGGACAGAAAATGAAACTGTTTCTGCAGCAAAGAGCTTAAATATTTAAAATGTTTTCTTACCTGGAGATGAAACGTGACAGAAGAGGAGCAACAAAAATAATTTCATCTTGGACTGAAAAACAAGTAGAGCTGAAGAGCTGAGAATCAGCTGATGTGAAGTTTTGCTTCGGTCCAATGATGTTTCCTGGTTTAATACTTACAGGTGAACAGGAAGTTTAACAGGATTGTTTGTTGTTGTCAGCTCTCACATGTGGAACATGAAGCTGGGACATTTTTTACAGGTCCTGTGTGTTTCATGTGAAGTGTGTTACCTGTTGTTCCTACTGAGGCTTATTCTGATCTGCCTGTACTTGTCTACCTGCTAAAGTCCTGTAATGAACACTTGCTTAACCTGCTTCTACTTTTGGTTTAGTTTTCCCTTTGCTTATATATCTTATCTGCTGCATAGATACCCCACAAAAACATCCTGGGTCACACAGAAAATGGCGATCACATGTTTATGATAGGATCACAGCCACAGAGTTCAGCTTCACTGACCTATCAATGTTAAGAGACATGCATATCAGCCTGTTTTTAGCAGGAAAAGCAGTTTTGTAAATATTTGTATTGTAAAAATCTGTTTTTTAACATTAACATAACAAAGAAACAGTAATGTGTATGCTCTGTATGAATAGTGTAGAGTTCCTCTTTAAGCCTAAATGTTTTCTAACTACTTCAGCTTTGAAGTAGTTAGAAGGCACATTTGACAGAGCTACTGGTTTGATGTTTTCTCCCTCTTGCTATGCTAAGCTAAACTTGTCTAGGAGCTAACTCCTAGCATTCCTACAGAAGCCCAGTGTTCATGTTATTGTAAATGATGTTTTGACCTGTCATTGGACCCTGCAGTGGGTGTCAGGCTGTGTTGTCATGAATCTACTGAGCCCCTGACACATGACACCTTCTCTAACCCTGAGGTCATTTCAAACTGCTTTTAAATTTTTCTAATTTAGTTTCAGGGAGACGGCTGCCAGTATTCTGAAAATATACACTGTTTTAAAATATTATAGCATCGTTTATCTATTTAGATTTTTCCACTTAAATATTGCGTGCCATTTTGAATCAACATGGGAAACGGTTTGTCCTGTATTTCCGGTTGCCTTGAACGCAGCATCATCCCACCCGAATTCAACTTCTTACGGCTAGTACCTGCCTGCCCATAGCAACTCCTCCATGACAAGGCAAAAACTGAATTTTTGATTTTTTTTGACCATGTACTAATAAGGAAAACTGAAATATCACAGTGACATAAGTATTCAGACACTTTACTCAGTACTTAGTTGAAGCACCTTTGGCACACCTGGATTTGGGGATTTTCTGCCATTCCTCTCTGCAGATCCTCTCAAGCTCTGTCAGGTTGGATGGGGACCGTTGGAGGACTGTCATCATTGTCTTGGCTGTTTGCTTAGGGTCATTATCCTGTTGGAAGGAGAACCTTTGACCCTCCTGAGCACTCTAGACCAGGTTTTCAGTCGTTGTTTTCAAGCAGGTCTCAGATTTCCTCTGACCATGTGACCCAAATCAGTCTGTCTTTAGGAGCAGCCGCTCCACTGAAACGAGAATTTTGTGTTTCTTGGTGTTTTGTGTCCTGTTCTGTAAAACTATTAAAATAAATGTGAAAAATCAAATACTAGAAAAAAAGAAGACCACAGATTAACACGTAAATCATGAGCACATGAATCTAAAATTGTGCATAACACAATGCACATTTTTTTAAGATCGTCTTTCCAGTGGAGATATCATCTGTACATCACTCTTAACTAACTCTGTCTGTGTCTCAGGTGTTCACATTTTACAGTGGATGGGCAGCTGTGAATGGGACGATGAGACTGGAGAAGTTTTTGGTTTTTTGCAGTTTGGTTATGATGGAGAAGATTTCTTGTCATTGGACCTGAACACACTGACATGGGTCGCTCCGAAATCACAGGCTGTTGTCACCAAACTGACATGGGATGCTGACAAAGCAAGAATAAAGTGCAACAAGAACTTCTTAACTCTGGTTTGTCTGGTTTGGCTGAAGAAGTATGTGAACTATGGGAAGAGCTTTTTGCAGACAACAGGTAGAATCACATGACCTGATGTAGTTTCATGAACACAACAATATTCATATAGACTACTCAGACTGAATTACCAGTGTATCATCACTCCTCTCAGTCTGACTTTACCTTCTTTTTGGCCGTTTTCTGTGGCAGTAACCAATGCTCATCAATCAGTGGAGACTGACTTGTTTGGGGCTCTGTCATCACATCTATGACTATAAAGAGACTGTGTGGCAGTTGTGCAGCAAATCACTTACACTGAGCATGTGCAAGCCATTGTAAACAGGAAGCAGACTGTCTTCTCTGCAGTTGATTAGTTGCAAAAAATGCTACGAATGAGGAACAGCAAAGTCAGCTGCAGTGTTAAAATGCAGAGTTTACCTGCTCAACAGCTGCGAGCAAAGCTTCTTGGCAGTGCCTGACTCCGCCCCTAACTCCCAGCTAATCCATACAAATGGAAAAAGAGGTGGGATGTGTGTGGACCTGAGACTTTGGTGCATGCCGGTTTGTGGCAAGCATACGCTCACCCACCTGTCACTCAAAGAAGCCACGCCCTCAATTATGCAGAACTTAAAGCCTTAATAAAATATAAACAGGTGAGTTGTATAAAGATTCCCCCTCCGTACAGTCGTTATGAAGGAGGAAAGTTGGGCATTTTAACATGGGAGTCTATTGGACTCTTCTCACTTTTGGAGCCAGACTCTAGTGGTCATTAGAGGAACTGCAGTTTTTTGTGTTGGCTGCATTTTTCAGCTTTGGGGGTTGATGCTTGGTCTGTACATATAGAGAATTTACCTGAAAGAAAAGTTGGTTTCATGTTGTGATTCTAACTTATCTATTGTGTCCTGAGTTCACTTCAGCAAACACATGTACAGATCATACATAGATCATGTTGGGATCGGAAACAAATCTTTTGGGTATTTTTTTTGCGTATGAGTTGCATCAAAGTCTATATTATTAGCAACATTATTAGGAGCATGGCTCTAGAGATGACAATGTCAGTCATTCAGTCACAGTTTTTACTCTGTTTATCTTGATGTCTCCCTGTTAAATTTCTTCATCTTTCTCTACCCCCTTCACCCTCTCTCACCTCCTCTATTTCCATTGTCTCTCACTCTCTCTCTCTCTCTCCCTCTCTCTCCCTCTCGCTCTCTCCCTCTCTCTCTCTCTCCCTCTCTCTCTCTCTTTCTCTGCTCTCTGCTCTCCTCCGTCTCTCTCCTCTCTCTCTCCTCTCTCTGCTCCGATTCCTCCTCTCTCTCTTCTCTCTCTCCCTCCTTCTTCCTCTCCCTCTCTCTCTCTCGTCTGCTCTCTCTCTCTCTCTCCTCTTCTCTTTCTCGTCTCTCCCTCTCTCTCTATCTCCTCTCCCTCTCTCTCTCTCTCCCTCTCTCTCTCTCTCTTCTCTCTCTTTCGCCTCTCCTTCCCCTCCTCTCCCCTCTCCTCTCCTCTCTCTGCTCTCCCCTCTCCCTCTCTCTCTCCTCTCTCTCTCCTCTCTCCTCTCTCTTCCCTCTCTCTCTCCCTCTTCTCTCCCTCCGCTTCTCTCTCTCTCTCTCTCTCTCTCTCTCTCTCTCCTCTCTCTCTCTCTCTCTCTCTCTCTCTCTCTCTCTCTCTCTCTCTCTCCCTCCAGAGCTTCCCTCAGTGTCTCTCCTCCAGAAGACTCCCTCCTCTCCAGTCAGCTGCCACGCTACAGGTTTCTTCCCTCACAGAGCTGTGATGTTCTGGAGGAAAGATGGAGAGGATCTTTATGAGGACGTGGACCAAGGAGAGATCCTCCCCAACCATGATGAAACCTTCCAGATGAGAGTTGACCTGAACATTTCATCAGTCACACCTGAAGACTGGAGATAAACCCATTCATGTTCCTCGCCCCAGGATCACTGGTCAGATTACCAGCAGATTCTGTCTGATTTTCTTAAAGCTTTTAAACATTTTACAGAACATGTTGTTTTCACCATCAAATAACAGGTTTGTTCTGCCTGTCCACTCTTTACTTCACCCAGAAAACACAGAACAGCCAGTGGTGAAACCTACACAACATGATTTGATTCTGCTCTTACAGCTCCTGACAGCGACTCTGAGCTCTCTGAAAAACTGAATCCAGAAACCTGACAAACACTCAGTGAGCTCACATGGGAGGGAAAAAGTCAACACTATATGTGCCCCATAATAATACACCTACAAATGTTTAAATGTTGTTTTCCTGCAATGAGTGATGTAGCTTCATATGAAATAAGTGAAATGAAGAGAAAAAACAAACTCCAATCGGATGCTATTGAAGTTATCATTTATTGATTTAATGATATTGTCTGATTTTTTCATGATAAAAGTAAATACAGCTGAAATCACAACACAGTCTTTGTCTTTAACTCATGTGCTTGGGGATTTTGTGAGATCATGTTGTGATAAAATCAGGGTTTTAGCAGCAGAGTTTCGGTGACTATTTCAGACTCGTTCCACTGTCTGACAATAGAAACAGAAAAACACGTGATAGAGAACAGCTTTTCTGTGAATTAGACTGTTTTAAAATACTGTATATGTGAGCCCAGAGAGGAGGAGAGAACAGGACAGGATGACATCAGTCCTTTAACAGGTTCCACAAGTGTTTTCAACTATGTCCTCAGTTTTAATGATGTTCACACTGACCATTTGTTGTTATAAGTTATAAGTTATGACCTAGTCTTGTTTTTATGAGTTTTGCATGATACACTATGACTGTAGAATAACTCCATCAGCTACAAGTTTCTTTAAACACACTGAATACAGTGGCAGAAATCTCCTCTCACAATGTGTTATAGAAAGCATCTTTTTTCTTTGGTACATAATTTAAAAAACTTTATCATAGCAGAGGGATTGCTACCTGCTAACTGATTAGTCAGACTGGTGGAACCAGATACACAGTGATGGTACTTGGACTGATAAGTGGGACGTTCATATGATGTTGTCTTTGAACCAGTTGGACCAGCCCATGTGGGCTGATCATGTAGATATGAGGCAGAGGCAGCGACCGCAGAGTATCTGCTCTTTGACTGAATGAGAGAAGGATTTAAAAGCAGCTTAAAGCAACATTAGCTCAGGGTTAGAGAAGGTGTCGTCTGTCAGAGGCTCAGTAGATTCATGACAACACAGACTGACACCCACTGCAGCGTCTCATGAGAGATCAAAGATCATTTAACAGATGAACTGGTCAGTGACCAGTCATCTACTGTATCAAATATCAAATGGGTCAGAACAAAGAAGACCA